ACTGTATTTCCCCAAAAATAAGACAGGGTCCTATTTTCTTTTGACATCAAAATAAGTGCTTGGCCTTATTTTCGGGGAGGTCTTATTATTTTTGAGATGCAGGAAGTGGCGAACGTGGTCACCTCATGCATGCTGCTGTGTTGCAATATTTTTGGGGAGGGCTTATTATCCAGGGAGGGCTTATTTTCAGGGAAACAGGGTAAGAAGAGTGAAGAATGCAAGATATAAGAGGGGTTTGGGTCCGCAAAATCAAATATTTTAGCCCACCCTGACCATAACTGATGAAGCTTGGCAGTATGGTTTTCCATTTTGAAATACTGTATTTTTGGGAGTATAAGACGCACCAAGATTTTGAAGAGGATAATTTTAAGTTTTTGCACTCTGCAGACCTCCCAAAAATGACCCATTATTAATGAAAATGGGCCTTTTTTTTTAAAGGGCATGAATAGCTTTTAGCAGGCTTGTAGAGTGCTTTTGGGGGGTGCCCCTCCCCAAAAAAACAAGCAAAAAATGGACCATTTTTCGATAAAACGGGCCCGGTTTTTGTCAAAAAAAGTGCATGCATAGCCTTTAGGGGGCTTTCAGAGAGCTCCTGGGGGCTGGGGGGGGGCAAAATTAAGCAAAAAACTCCCTGTTTTTCACTCATTTCTGCCCTCCCCAGTGCCCAAGATCTCTCTGAAAGCATCCTAAAGGCTATTCATGGACATTTTGGTGATGGGGTGGGGTTTCAGGAGACAAAAAATGCTGTATTCAGTGTATAAGACACACCCAGATTTTCAGCCTCTTTTTTGAGGGAAAAAGGTGCGTCATATTCTCCAAAAAATATGGTACATTGTTGTTCTTTAAAGAACAGGCATCATCCCAACTCCCTCTAAAAATCCTGAGGAAAAGATAGGGACTTTAAAAAAGCACTATTATACCTTTGAGACAGTAAGTTGAGGACAGGTAGTCCTCTACATACGACCACAATTGAGCCCAACATTTATGTTGCTAAGTGAAACATTTGTTAAGTGAATTCTGTCCCGTTTTACGCCTTTTTTTGCTACGGCTGTTAAGTGAATCAGCGCAATCGTTAAATTCGTAACACGGTTGTGAAGTGACTCTGGCTTCCCCATTGACTTTGGTTGTCAGAAGGTTGCAAAAAATGGTTGCAAGACTCCGGGACACTGCAACGGTCGTAAGTATGAACCAGTTGTCAAGAATGTAAATCCCATGACCATGGGAGGAATGCTGCAACGGTTGTAAGTGTGAAAAACGGCCATGAACCACTTTTTTCAGTGCCGTTGTAACTTTGAACAATCACTAACAAACCGTTGTAAGTCGAGGACTACCTGTGCTACTGATCACGTAACAAAATCTAGTTTTAAATCAAATGATCCTGGCGTTTAATATGTAGATTTTTAAAAAGTCAAATTATTTTCACAGAGCTCTCTTATTGGTACGCTTTCTTTCACACTTCTTCCCACAACTGGAAATAATATCCGTTATTTCCACCAGATGAGTTTCCTTCACCCCGCTGGTGAAGCTGACTTGATTCACCAATGTTTAGACATAAGGAAGTGAGCTAATCTTGAAGTTACCACATTTTAACTCTGAAGGTGAAACTGCTGTCCCATCAAATTACATTCAGCTCAGTTTATCTCAATAAATCCCATGCAGATTTATAACCAATAAACAATACTTACCACCCCTCTAAATGAAGGTGGAATGACGCCACAATACATAGGCACAAATGAGCTACAAAGCAGGGCCTATGAAAGATTTAAAAAAATAAATAAAGATTAGCTATAATTATTTCTAATTGCAAAGGAAAAACATAACAATGCAGGTCACAAATCCAATTCCTTTAGGGAAACCTTTCAAACGATCAGATGGGTGACTCCTAGGGAAAAGTTCCCCCGTGTTTGTAAATATCGTGTTTTCCCCCAAAATAAGACCCAACTGGAAAATAACCCCTAGCATGATTTTTCACGATGCTTGTAATATATGCCCTACGTCCCAAAATAAACCCCAGTTAAAGTTGTCAACCAGATGGATACATTTAGTGCCATATTTCCCCGAAAACAAGATCTAACCGAAATATGAGCCCTAATGCATTTTTTTGGAGCAAAAATTAATATAAGACCCAGTCTTATTTTCAGGGAAGCGTGGTAATAATGTGGTTAAAAAAAAGTAGTAACAGTACAGAACATACCTGCACAACCTCTTCTTTGGAATTAAAATCGGATATTAATACGTTTTCCCCATCAGACACTCTTGTTAGTGAAATTGAAACTTTCCCTGATAATAATTTGTAACTGTTTTCGGGAAGATTTTTGCAGAGGCCGTCTCTTATTATTTTCATCACGTTGAAGGAAGGGTGAAGAGGACCAAGATTTCGTTTCCTGGCTTCTTTAGCTAGATTGAAAACATCTGCACAAGCTTGTGCTGAAAGATATATAAGCATCATGAGACAAGATGTCAGATTGAAGTATTCCTTACAAATGCATGCTTCCTCCATTGATGATTTCATTTTAAAATGTTTTTAAAAAGCCAAACATGTCTTGAAATATTCCAAAGCTAACATTCCACAACACCTGATTTTATTAATGCCATCCAGATGAATACGTTTATCCTTTCATATGCAGGTATCTGGAATCTTTTCTGTGCTACCTTGCTCAATAGTAGTAACTGGGAGAAGGATCCTAGTGGACTACCATTTAAATAGGAGCCAGCCGTGTGCAGCAGCTGCCAAAAAAGCCAACACAGTTCTAGGCTGCATAAATAGAGGGATAGAATCAAGATCACGTGAAGTGTTAATACCACTTTATAAGGCCTTGGTAAGGCCACACTTGGACCACTGCATCCAGTTTTTGTTGTCATGATGTAAAAAAAGATGTGGAGACTTTAGAAAGAGTGCAGAGAAGAGCAACAACGATGATTAGGGGCCTGGAGGCTAAAACATACAAAGAACGGTTGCTGGAACTGGGTATGTCTAGTTTAATGA